TATTGTAATTTAATAACAATGTCTTAAATTTAATTTTATATTTTGTAACTAAGTAATAAATCATTTGGAAGGGTGGTGGTTTGTTTAAAATTTAAATTAAGATGAACATATTATCAGCATGGTATTTTAATATGTATTCATGAATTTCATATAAATACCAGAAGCTAACCAGTAGAATAATAGGTAAATCAGATATCTACCCTTCATTTGATGATAATTTTGAAAAATTTTCCAAATAAAATGGCAAAGAAAATATGTACATATTAGACAGATTTAATTCTTATAAACCCCTTACATCAGACCTATTTTTCTGGATCAAAGGAAAAATAAATTATTTTGGTTTTCCTGGACTTGGGAAATATTTTTCGCCATTATTATGGACTTGGACATAGCTTGCGAAACATTTTTCAATTATAGTCTTAGATTCCTGTAAATTTTTTAATTTTAAATATGGGCTAGAAATTGGCCTGAAAACCATTTTTTGAAGACATGGCAAGGCCTGATCAAAAACCAAGGCCCATGCAACTTTCATATTCTGATTGTATTTTTAAATGCATTGTGACTTTTTATATATATTTTATTTCAGTTCTCAACTATCAAAATTATTATTGGCGAGTTTGAGAAAATTTTCCCAAGTGCGAGGACCTGGCTTGGGAATTTTTTTAATATTAGGCATTGGTGTAATATTTAACACAGAATATTTATATGGCCCTCAGACAAAAGCTATTTTAAATATATTTTTATTCAAAAAAAGAGTACTCTTAGTCTTAATGGGTTGGCCTTGGTCGGGGTGAGCTGGGTTAAAATAGAATAAAAAATAGTTATGGTTTTTAAAGATTTACCTATCTTTAGGTTTGGGAAAATTTTTTAAAATTACTATGGGTTGGCCAGGTTTGAGAAAATATTTTTATAAAATTATTATGGGTTGGGTTGGGCTTGGAAAATATTTTTATATTGGGCTGGGCTTGAGGAAAATTTTTTAAAATTATTATGAGCTTGGACGCTTGATAATATTTTTATTATTAATTATGGGTCAGACATTGGCCTAAAACAATTTTTTTGCAGGCCTGGGCTTGACCTGATCAAAAAACCAAGGCCCATGAAAATCTGATTTTGTTTGTATTTTTAAATTCATTATGATTATTTAAATATTTTATATCAGTTCTCAATTACCAAAATTATTATGGTCTTTCATTGGGCTTGGAAGAATTTTTCAAAATTATTATGGCTTTGTACTTTGCATGGGAATTTTTTTTAATATTAAATATTAGGTATAAAGTGATCAGTAATATTTAACAAATAATATTGGTATTATCACGTAAAAGCTTTTAATTTAGTCATACTCAAACCATAGTATTTACACTTAGTTTTAATGGATTGAACCTGGCCTCAAAAAGAATAAAAATTGGATATTATTTTCAAATAACAGGTAACATCTAGCATAAAAGTAAGAAGAATAATTCTCATTCCCCGTCATTTTTGACGGGCTATCTACTAGTATATTAATTTAACCTAATACCAAAACAATAAATAGGAAATATTGTTTAAATCAATACCAATATTTTAGTTCATAGCAATACCAAAACAATATTTCGATAATCTTAGGTTTTTAATATTGGTTCCCAGCCAATATCATCTTTCTAATTGAATGACGGACAGGCACTATGTTTTTTAAAAAATTCTTTCACTGAAAAAGGAGACAATGGGACTAGAATATTTTTCTTAAATCATCTAATAAATAAGTAAAAAGATTTAAAATTAAAATTATAAAATTTTATTTTCAATCTAATAAATGTGTATTTTAAGTCCTGATAGCATAAATTATATTATATTAAAAAATTTCCAATTAATTTTTATAAATTTTAATCATCATTTCCTAATATTTTTTTACTTTAATAAAATTTACAAAAAAATAGGTTCGGTTTGGGTTCATAATTTTAAGGATCTGGGGTTCAGATATGGCATGGGTTAAGAAAATGCCCTGTCTGGGTTCGGATTTAATCAAGAACCCGTATTTTTGGTAAGATCTACCTACTCACAAATTTTGCGAAAAACAATTCACTCCGGTTTTGAATATTTATTTTTAAGCCCTGTCCAGCTAGAGTTTTATACCCCCTTATGGTCCTCTTCTGGGCCAACCCAAGTTTAGAACTCGCCTTGGGGAGCTCCGCTATAAAAAAACGGAATACATTATAGTCTAAATATCAGAGACCTGCAGAATTTGCCCTAGTACACAGGCCGAGCCGTATTTAATCTTCTTAAATATACCCGGGCCTGGCCGTGCCGTATATTTTAAAACCGAATATTTAAAAATGTCATTATTAGCTAGAAAAATTAAAAATAAATTTAATATATTTTAAAAAAATCACGGGTCGTGCCATGCAAATGGTATCTCTGCTGAAGGTCATTACTAAATATTATATTTTTATAGATATCATCTATTTTATAAAATTAATTATGAAAAATCATGAAATTTAAAAGATTATGAAGAATCATTATTACTGAGTTATAAAAATAAATTGTTAATCATGCAAATAACGTGAATCATGAATTTTTTAAAAAAATCCCCTAGTTCCATAAATTTTAAAATCATATTCTTACCCCCACTGACGACCCCTTTTTTGAAAATTGCTTATGACCAGTAAATTTCATGGCCATCAATCTATGATAAAATTCCTTCTTGCAAAAATACAAACAATTAAATTAGCATTTCAGAATTTGTGAAAAATTAAAAAAAATAAAACATATGTGTTAATGCATCATAAAATAAGTCCCAATTTTATGTTTCTTCAATGACTTTATCGCTATTCGATATCGATTAAAATTTTGGATGATTGGGAATCACAAAACATTTCTTTCATGAATTCAGCATCATATACTAACAAATTTTTTGAAATATAATTCTTATAGTTAAAAAAAAATAGAATATGCAAGGTCATCTGTACCAGTTCAAACTCCCCGGGCGTTTTTTAGAAATCAAATAGAATATTTTTACTTGGTCTGCAAAATTGATTCGATTTTTTTGATCACGACAGATTTTAGCAGTTAAAAATAAATAGAATCTATTCGGTTTCTAAACTGGATCTAAATGCAGCCTATAATTTTTTAAAATTATTCAATATCTGAATCAGTTCCGGCTTAGCTTCATCAGCCATATAGTTATTTTAATATCGTTTTAATCTAAGCTAGTTGAAAAGAGGGGGGGGGGGGAATTCGAAATTGTCAAAAAACAAAAAAACCTTATAAAGAAATCGTAAAATTTCATCATAATATTATATACATAATTGTATATTATATACATAATGGAGGCCTTAATCTAGAGGTCTGCATTAGGCAAGTTTTTAGCCCTCCCGCCCAGGCGAGCGGATTAAAAAATTTTAAAAACGGGCAGACGGGTGGGCCGGTTTTAAACTATGGGTGGGCGGGCGGGTTAAAAAATTTACAACTTTTATTTGTTATTTAAGCAAACATTTAAAAAAAATGTTCCCTGAAATTTAAACATTTTTAATACCAATGTACCCATAATTGAGGATGTGGTCATCAGAAGAAATTAATTAGGTAAAATTATATGGAAACATATTGGATTTGATTATGGAAGAATATAACCACGTTTTCCTTAAAGCAAAGATAATTCAATTGAAGATTATTAAATTATGAATGCAATGTTTGAAATAGATAGCATCCATGTAACAAGAACAGTTGTTACCTAATGACATAGTAAAATGTTTAAATTTTAAAGTAATTTTTGTATAATTTGGTAAAATTTTATGCTACTTAGTTTAGTTTAAGTTTGCAATTTATAATTAATTTAAATTATTTCACTTTTTATTTAAATATCTCATTTGAGTAGGAGATATACTTCAAACGGATATCCTACTTTTATGAAAACGACAAGAAAAAGATTTATCAAAGCTATCAAGATTAGCTAGAAAAATATTGGCAATTCCAGCAACCAGTACTTCTTTTGATCGAGGAATTAGCATTACTGGAAGGTTTTTAATATTATTACATAAATATTTTATTATATCAAATAAATTCCGTATCCATAATTTAAATTGAATATATTTTTTTGCTTTAATATAGCTATTTCTTAAATTATAGTATTCTTTTGTAAGGGATGTATCTCTAATTTCATTTTTTTATTAGATACTTAAAAAAATTGAAAGAATGAGCCTATTTAAATTTCATATGGGCGGCGTGGGTTAAAATTGCCTTATAAATATGGGCGGCCGGGTAAAAAATTTTACACTAATGGGCTGGCTGGAGGGCTGGTGAAAATTTTTTAGATTAAAGGGCGGGCGAGTATATTTTTTATAAATATTGGACAAGCGGGTTTACCTTTGTTAACGAATGAAAAATTTTTTGAATAAAAAGGTAGAATGTAATTTAGGATAAATAAGATTGGCACTGGGATATTCTAATTTAAATAAGAGGAAAGTGAATATTTAGCCAAGTTAATCATGGTAAACTATTACATATTTTTTTTCCTTCCTTTAAAGTGCTTTTTTATAAATTTCCCCTTAATTAATATATTGCGATAGTTTAGTTTGGATTAATCTATATAACCTTAAATTTCGATGATATGCAAAATATTATCCTTTTCTACAAATAAAACTAAATAGAATAATATAAATTAATTTGATTATCTAATTCTAAACAACATTTATTTTACGGCATAATTAATTTTCGGATAATAAACCAAAAATTTTTTTTATAATTTTTGTAAAGTTAAAATTATTTCTTTCAAATTTGGCATTGCAATTAATTATCACCTTCGCTAATGAGAAAATATGAGGGTCTGGCGAATTTATCTTGTTGTCATCCTTTCATATTTCTATCATTTAAAACTATATGCACAGCTATGACCCAGGATTTCCGTAATATTATAATTTTTAAATTTAAATGTTATATTATATATAATGAAATATAATTGAGAATTGATAAAATTTAAATTAAAATATAATTTTGAAAAAAAGTTTGCTTACAAAAGTTGGCAAATATGGTAAAATACATTCGTAGTGACCCAACTCAAAAACAAATACATTCAGTGCGATGAGCAAGGTCATGCCACGTTTAATAACTGCCACACCGGGTTTATATTCAGACCTTTTGTTCGTAAATGTACACACGTGGACAACGTGGGAAAATCCATAAGCAAAATGCTAGCGACCCTTTTGACTCCACCAAAAACTAAGCCTGCAATCAGTACAAATAATATTGACGAATTCTATAATATCGATATTAAAGGTAAAAGCACTCGAGACGCTAATAAAAAAAAAATCAGAAAAAGACGTCAATCATCAATCCAGGTCAACTTTTAGAAGTCCGCCACAATCTCAACCTTTTTTTGGAAGATTCCCACCACCTCCTTTTAAAAGTCCCCCACCACCTCCGCCGCCTTTTGGAAGACCGCCAAAACTATTGCCTTCCTTGTTTAGAGGCCCACCTCCTCCTCCATCTTTCAGACCTCCACCTTCTTTGAGACCTCCACTCCACCGTCTTTCAGATCTCCACCTCCACCTCTTTCAGATTTCCACCATTTTTCGGATCTCCACCTCTATCATTTTTCGGACCTCCACTCCCACCTCCGCTGGTAAATATTATCTTTTTCCCTACTTATATTTATGTCTCCCTAATCAAGTTTGGTATAGCAATAATCAAAAACTTATTTTAAAAAAATGTAGATTTTTGGTAATCGAAGACCGATTCAACCACCTTCATCTTCAATTTCTAACTTAAATAAAATGATCATGCCAGTTCATGAACCCATCCAGGAGCTTATTCAGGACTCCAATCCCCCTGAAGATGGTGCGTCAGATAACGGGGAAGAAAGATTTAATTGAAAATGTAGTTAAAATTTCGATAGGCTATTAAAAAAATTCATAAAATTTTGTTCATCCATAAAAGTTAGTGAAATGTATGAAAAATTTTTTAATATCTTTATTTAATAAATAGATCAGTCCTAAAAGGCAAATATTTATAAGATCTTCAAAATTTACTCAATAATTAAAAATAAACATTATCTCATTTCATTCCACTTATTTAAAATTTTCAACTTTTAAATATATTATACCCTCCCTACAAAATAAGGAAATAAAATTTAGAGGAATAATAGATATGCCATACCCTGGGAATGTTGGGCCTATTGAAGATCTAAGAGTGATAATAAGGTATAGATTAGGTTACGATGTCTTCCTAATTAATGTGAAGGGTGAGGGAAAGAGTCCAACCTTAGAGGTAAACATGGCCCAGTTTGCAGTGAGGGCATCCTGGTTAAAAATTTCTCAGGCCCGATCCCGAGCAAATTTTTTTTATTTGTCCCGAAAAGCCCGACCCGAATTAAATAATTATTTGTCCACTAGCCCCAAAATTATTTAAATATGGGAAAACATTTTTTTTTTTGTAGAAAAAATATTTTGCAAATAAAAATTATCGATGCCTTGTTTCTTGCAACAAATTTAAAATATATCAATTTATTCCACAAAATTGAGTGACATCATATTTAAGACTTTAAGCCCGACCCAGCCTAGGCGAATTTGTTTTAAAAATATTTGGCCCGACCCAGTCCAAACTCAAATTATTTTTAAATAAAAGGCGGTTCAGTCGACACAGGGTATTTATTTAATAATCTTAAATAAATCAGGTTTGATAACTAGCCATATTTCTTAAACCTGTTTATTTATTGCTGTTTGATGGCAAAAGACCAGAGGATCTCACCGATATTCATTGGTTTAGATGGAAACATCTTATTCCTCTCTCCCAGTTCTCCCATACATTGACATTGACCCGATTATAACAGCTGAAAGGTCAGAAATCAGAATGTACCACGAACTTATAGATTTCCATTTCTTCTCAATAGTTATTTCTACCAATGGGTCCTTAGATTTCGTTCCATTTTTGGGGATTTTAAATTTAAAAAAATCTATCTGATTAATAAGGATAGTGGATCTCTTTTAAAATTTACAATCAACCGAAATAGATGTGTTCCAAGACAACTAGCTAAGTTTCTTCGGAACACAATGCCGGTCTTCTATAGTTTTTAAGTTTTTATTATTAAAAAATTAAAATATATAAAATAAATTTTAGCAAAAAAAACACAAAATAAAAAATTAGAAAAATATTTTAAAAAATAAGTAAATAAATACGCTTAATTTTAAACCAGTGGCAACTACAACGAAGAAGGAGGGGGGGGGGGGGGTACGAAGCAACTATTGCTTAAAATTCGAAAGGAGGTTTTTTTTGTAAATTTTTAGAAAATATTGTACCCCTATGAGGATGGTGATACTTTTTTATTAAAAAACTTATAAATTATTAAAAATATTTTCAAAATGTTTTCAAATATACAAAAAAATGAAGAAAAAAGAAGGGATATAAAACCAAGGTTTAACACAAATCTTCATAAGATCATTTGAATATTTTTTTTCGCCCAAAATCTTTAGTAAAAATATTAGATCAAAAAAATTTTAAGCATGCCGAAAGAGGTGTAAAATATTTATGCTATTTTATTTAATCTGGGAAAATTTTTAATTTTTTTTTTTTAAATAAACATCAAAGGGAACATCATAGATGATTTTTTACAAAAAACATTATTTATTTTGCTCAAAAGTTTTCTTTGAACATGCTTAAAATATTTTTTACTTCACATTTTTTGATCTTCAAAAGAGCAAGATCTTTGAAGATTTTTGAATTTTGTGCAAATGTTAAACCTTGAACAAAATGTATTAAAATTAAAACTATGTTCCAATCTTTTATCGTATAATATACTTTGTCCTCATCATGGCTACATCATCCTGCTCATTTGGGCAACCCACTTTGTATATTTTCAAAACGGTTTTCTAATCCATAAGGAAAAAATTCGTTCCTATTATTTTATGTTTAAAAATTCTTGGCCCGAATTATTCATTTAGCATTCTCCTTTTTAAATTTTTAAAAATTTTAAAAATTTGTTCTTTTTTAAAAATATTTTTCATGTTCCTTTAGATATATAAATTTTTAGTATTTTTTTAATAAAAAAAATATTCGATAGTATGTAGTATACTTCTTGATATCATGAAAAATATAAATATAAAAAAGATTCAAAAAGAAATTAAGCCTAACTAGTGTTGATAATTGGTTGATTGTGTAAAACCCAGACCCGGATTTTGAGTCTAAAAATCGAATCGACTAAACAAGCTCTGAGCACGAAATCCGAGCACAGACTAGGGGTTCAGATCCGGGGTTCAGACCTGGGTTCAAGACCCGATGTTAGGATGAATAATGTTATTCCAAATAGTTCATAAAAAATTTACCAAAAGTAAAGAAGCAGCAAAGCGCAATAGCGTTTTCTGGGGTTAGATAGAAAAGCCCTGCAAGCAATCAGCTTCAAGTTAGGAAAAATTTAAAACGGGTCGACCTAGAGCTTATAAATACCAAAAAACTAAAATGAGTTATTATGTTGGTTAACCGGTCGATTATTTCCAGACAAACGACTTGTGCAACTATTCAAAAAATCACTTTTTTTCTAAAAAAGGATAAATTAGAATTTTTCTGGGATTAGGACAAAGACAATTAGTATTAAATTTAACTTTGTACAAATGCTTTATATTTTTAAATTTAAATATTTTCGAACTCAGCGCTAAAAGGAATATGTTAGTGCCTAGAAAGATCTTGCTTAAAAATCTTCTTTGAAGATATTTTGTACAACTCTTAGAACAAGATTCCAAATTTTAAGCGATTTAGAACCTATCCCTTAACATTTATTTTTAATATATTTCATTTTTTAAAAATTTTTAAATATAAAAATAAACCAAAATACTGAATTTAATTTATTTGTTTTTTGTTTTATATGTATGGCGCCACTTATATAGAAAATAGTAATTAAATAAAATTATTTATTAAATTAGTTATATATGAAGTCAATTATTAGAAAGAGAAATTATCACTCATTTTAAAATGTGAATATATATACTAATAATTAAAACTTTATATTTTTAGTAGAAATTGATATTAATTAAAACCAAAATTAATAATAACTAAAACTTTATTTTGGGAAAAAAAATGATATAATGTGTTTATAAAAATAATAATTTTGTATAAAATTATGGATTAAGAAAAATTACGTGATAAGTGATAAAAGCGTTTTCGCCCGGTTGTGGATATTGTGGATACAACAGAACTATGCAAGGTTTTACTCAAAATCCATCAAACTGGATAATTAATTTAGGGGTAGAAAAATGAGGAGCCCTTCACACATTTGTGGAAAGTCGCACGTACTTGTACGCAAAACAGTCCGAAAACTGTTGTTTAAACGTCTCTAGGCTCATAACAGAAAAGTTCGGCAAAACAAAAGCCTATATACAAGAAATACAATATAATTTAATTACTTTAATGGTGGGTGGTGTCTGATTTTAAATTTAAATACTTTAATGTAAACCCTAATGATACAAATAAATTAATAAGATAGAGAAATTAAAAATAAGAATAAATAAAAAGTGGTGTACAAGAGAAAATACATTAAATTTTAGTTAAAACTAATAAACAAAAAGGATTTGACCATTAAAAAACTATATGGGAAAAGTAAATTTATGTAAAAGTAAATAAAAAGGGTAAAAATAAAAAAGTAGTGTTCTAAAATAGAAATTTTTTTAGAAATTGGAATAAATTGTAAAAGTAAAGTATGGTGGTAAAGATAAATATGGAGTTTAATTAAATAATTAAAAAAATAAAGTATTATTAGAAATAAGCAAGGTTAATTGAATAAAAATATAAAGTAAGAAATAGTGGCTCTAATTAAATTTAAGAATTAATAAAAGCAAATGATTATAAGTATTAATTTTAAAAAAAAATTGATGCATTAAAAGAATATTATTATGTAGTTAGTTTAATATGAGGAAAATTTAAGACTATTAATAAAAAAAAATAAGGTAATATTTTTAATTGAAGGATGAATAGAAAAAATATGTAATTTTTAATAGTTAATAAGAAATTTGAAAGAAGGTAGAGTAAAGTGAGCAGTAAAATTATAATTTTAAAAGGAAATATAAATTTAGTAATTTTATTTATTTTGAATCCATAGAATTGCCACATCAATAATATAAAATGAAATAAGAATATATAGTAGTTTCCATTCATAGGCGTAGCCAGGGAGGGGGGGCAAGGGGAAATCCCCCCCCCTTCAGAAATTTATCACTTTTTGTGAATATAATTTTAGGCTAATAAAAAATATCCCCTTAGTCCTCCCCTAACTCCCTGACCCCCCCCCCTCCCCCCAATGTATGCATATATCTTAAACAATAATTTGAAAGAAAGAATGTAAAAGTTGATATTTTTTTAAACTAAAACTATTCATCATAACTTATACATTTTTGGAAAAAAGCATTTATATATAAAAAAAAGTAAACCAAAAATGTTTTTTAAGAAATGAAATATAAGCCAAAGATAAGCAGGGATCCAAACCGAACCGTTAAACCGCTAAAAACCGGTATTTTTATCGAACCTGAACCGAATCGCTATAATGTCTCTGAACCGATTCGAGCCTCATGATTTTATGCTTATAAAACAATATGTAAGTTATTATTAGTATATTGAAAAAATTTCAATTACATTCAAATTATTTTAAAGATTATCACCAATCACATTTGATTGATAAGTGTCGGTCATAATTTTTATAAACTTTAGTAAATTGTCATTTTACAACATTTTTTTAAAATATTTTAAGCTTGTAAATTATAATGCTTAGAGAAAAATTAAATCCAAAATATTATTATAAATGACACATCAAATCTGATATCATATTGGCAGTGCCGGCTACCCAAGTTAGTGTGGAAAGATGCTTTTCAACAATTA